ATGGCGACAATATCTATCTATCTATCTATCTATCTATCTATCTATCTATCTATCTATCTATCTATCTATCTATCTATCTATCTATCTATCTATCTATCTATCTATCTATCTGTCTGTCTGTCTGTCTGTCTGTCTGTCTGTTTATTCAAGACACTTAAATCCAATGACCCCAGAAAACAAAATTCAATTGCAAGAAAATGAAATGCCTGAAAAAAACAGTAACGTTTAATGATTTAGTTACAAGTGAATTTTAAGATGCAAAAAGAAATATTAAAAGGGCATAAAAACAAACCGCAATGCAGGAACTAAAAATTTCAAGACGAAAACGCTGAAACTAAATTAAGATTTGAGGAAAATATATATTTATGCACACTGTAAAAAGGGTTAAAAAGACACAAAGAAAATTTTTACAGAAGGATAGCAACAAAAATCAGAGCGACTATATATATATATATATATCTACACAAAAAGTTTACACAAAGAGCACAACAAAAAAATTTGAAACCATAAAACCGAGAAAACAAAATATAGTATCGAACTGGAGTGCATGCTAAAAAAGTACAAAAAACACAAAATGTTTTACAGAGCACAACAAGAATTCAAAAACGAAGCTGAAAACTCAAACTGGAACGTGAGAGCCAATGCAAGCAAATACAACAACAAGAGCTGAGACAATTACTAATGAAGAAAATGTATGTACACAAAAAGCAACAAAAAACCATCAATGGCTGCCTTGTGCTTGGTGAGCTGATGTCAGTTTCTTGATGTCTGGAACCATTTTTGTTAATTTCATTCTTAAATTGTCGTGCTCAGTGATCTTCAAAATGTTCCTTGATTTAGAAAGGATCTGTTGGATGGCGCTGAAGCCCATCTCCACTAAGTAAGGAAAGGCTAAAATAAGCAACTTTACTTCCTCCCACAATATTGGGTAAGTGTTCGTCTATTTTCACCCAAAAACCTTCTAGCCATAACTCTGAAAATATGATTGGGCTTCACAGTCGCATTTCAGATCTGTCAGTGGCTCTTGCAGTTTGGGATGAAGTTGTGCAAAGTCTGCTGTGAAAGGATTTAGCACCCAGGTGGGCACTTTCAGATTTATCATATCATAGAATCTGGTTTTCATATCTTCTTTTAGTTGCTTCAAGTGGCAGCAAAAAAGGTCCAAATCTTCTGATTGGAGTGGACGTTCGTTACCAAGGCTTGGGAACCGATACAGCTCTTGGTGACTCATATTGCTTGCAAGGAGGTCCAATTTGGAAATAAATGAGCAGATTATTCCTTTGGTCTTAATAAAATTGATTTTATCTCCTTGCAGCTTTACATTCACTTCATTCAGCTTGTCAAAAACATCAGCGAAATAAGCTACATCCAGACGTCGAAGTTTAAGAGAACTGCTTAGACTTGGATCAATGGATTCAAGAAATTCGACAACTGTGTCAAAAAGGTCATAGAATCGCCGCAGACACTTTCCTTTTGAAAGCCACCTCACTTTGGTGTGCAAAAGGAGACATTCAAACTCCTTGTCATTTTCTTCAGAAAGCTTGTGAAACAGTCAGTTGTTCAAGGCTTTTGACTTAATTTTATTCACAGCATTAATGACGTAATGTAAGGACTCGTACAAACGGCTACTCAAATTTTTTGAGACAAGGTGCTGTCTATGAACGACGCAATGGACAGTCATAACTCCAGGTACAACTGATTTTAGATGAGCTTGAAATCTGCGATATCGCCTAACCATGGATGCAGCTCCATTGGTTGCACATGCCACGACGTTTGTCAAAGGGATGTTTTTCTCATTAAAAATTCTTCAACCATTTTAAATATCGAAGAACCTTTTGTGTCGGTAGCTAAATTTTGAGCAAATAACAGTTCTTCCCCAATCTCTTCATTTCCGTTGATGAAATGGACATAAGCCAATAACAAGGCTTCATTTTCACGAATTGTTGACTCATTAATCTGCATCATGAATTCTGTACTTTTGAAGATGTCAATAAACCTTTCTTCCACATCAGCAGCCATTTCATCATTTTTTCTGTTCAAAGGAATCGATTGTGTGACAGTGCTTGCGATGGGCCCCAACATGGTGGCAAAAATCTGTTACACTGCCAGTAAAATGTGTTTCTCCGATAGTGTGAGGTTTGCCACATTTTGCTGTCAACAAAGATACTTCATAGGAACAAATGAGCCCCTTGTCAGCGTTGAGTGACGATTTTCCAAATAGCATCTCAACAGTGCTGCGACCCTCAAACTTGGCCTTTAAGGACTGGAAAAACGATACCGATTTGTCGGCTTTATCCGAATGAATTTTTACCAAATGGTCTTTCAGTCGGGAAGGCTTCATCACTTCATTTGAAAATGATTTCTCACAAAGAAGACAAAATGGAAGCTTCTGGCAGTTCTCGGTCCATATATTGCTGAACCCTACCTTGTAGGATTTTGAGCAGAACCTTGCTAGCATGTGAAATGAGTGCAATTGTACGGTAGTTGGAGCATTCTTTGGCGCTGCCCTTCTTTGGGATTGGGATGTAGACTGATCTTTTCCAATCCTCTGGCCACTGCTGAGTTTTCCAAACTTGCTTGCATATTGAGTGTAGCACCTTAACAGTGTCATCTTTTAAGAGTTTAAATAGTTCAACTAGAATGCCATCACCTCCACTGGCCTTGTTGTTAGCCATGCTTTCTAAGGCCCACTTCTGTTGCACTTACACAAAATACTTAAGTTTTACTGGCAACATTGGCTCATGTTAAATCTCCAAAGACACGACTTGGTGTGCAACATAGAATGCTCATAATCCTGTTTAGTGTAGTAAATCACACTGTATTAGGCCCACTGAATCTATTGAGATATGGTGACAGCTCCTCTGCATGTTCTATTGATTCAAATGGGCCTAATCCAACTGCAAATTAAGCACAGTAAGTTACAGCAGGCACATTTGAATTAATGGAACTTACAGAGGAATTAACTCACCAAATTCCCAGTGATTAAATGGGTCTAACTCTAGTGCACTCTACTAGACTAAGCAACAGGATTTTGGCCAATGTCTATGGAGAGTTCTTGTGATAAATTTGCCTCTAAATGTTATACCTTTTGTGTAAGCCTGCAACAGGACTTCGGCCACTTTATCCTCAACTTTGTGAGAGGGATCACTCTAGAGCAGTGGTTCTCAAATTGGGGTCCCCAGATGTTCTTGGACTGCAATTCCCAAAAGCCTTCACCTCTTGCTGTGCTGGACAGGATTTCTAGGCATTGCAGTCCAGGAACATCTGGAGACCCAAATTTGAGAACCTCTGCCCTAGAAACTGACTAGCCCATAGCCACCCGGTATGTTTCATAGCTAGCTGGAACACAAACCTAGGTCTCCCAAATTCCAGTCTGACCACTACACGAAAGCTCTTGTATTCCTCCTCAAAAAGAATGCCATGTTTTGAACAAGAATAGTCTGCCTGTTGGGACATACAGAAATGAATAACTACAAAGCCCCCTCTTTTCAGACTCTGACAACAGGAAAGATGCACATTTTAATTTTAAAGAATCTTTATTTCAACAGACATGATTTTTAAAATGTTTTAAACATTCTATAGGCTTAGGGGGGAAAGCATTCTATAGGCATATGTACAAGGAGTAGAACCAAAGAAAGGGTTTTTATTGCCTCTTCCTTCTCAGTCCTTTTATCAGTTCCCAACCACTTCTCCACATGTGGCTCATCTTTCATAAGGGGCTGGGGAATGGACAACCAGGGGCTGGAGTGGACGCAAAGCCCGGTCCATACCAAGTTCGCCACGAGCCATCTGGGAAAGGATCCCATCCACCTGCAGAAGAGAATGGTTTCAGCAGCTCCAAGTCACAAACCCATGGACTGTACAGCATAAGTCAGGGCTGGGTCACAGCCATTTTTGAAGGCCTCTCTGAGAGCCTTTGCCTCCCTCCCAATACTTTTCATTAAAAATGGTTAATTTCAGCTTCCAGGAATGATGATTCTACATGAACAAGAGACACAGTACCTTCTCTCACCCCCAGAAAAAATGAATCTAGGAAAGGACTTCCGTCCAGTTCTAGTTTTGGCCTTTGAGTGATTTTTGCATTTAGAGGCCTAATGCAGCCTTGCCATGTCTCTGGAAACAGCTAGACCCCTGGTTGTTCTCCAAAGATGGCCACCCCTAGCATAAACCCTTAGGATATCCTCATATGATTATATAATAATTGTGTGTCATCAAGTCAATTCTGACTTATAGCAACCCTTTTCAGGATTTTCTAGGTAGGAAATACACAGAAGTGGTTTCCCATTCCCTTCTTCTGGGGGCATCCTAAGACTGTGCAGCTTGACCAAGGCCACAGGCTAGCTCTTCTCCTTGGAGGCACAGTGGAGAATCGAACTCTTACCTCTGGCTCCGTAGCTAGATATTGAGCTATCCAGCCAGCTTATTCTCGCGTACAGCCTCCAAATTCTAAAGGAATAAGCTAGCCTCCCTTCTGAATGGAAATTTCCTCCTCTCTGTCCAAATTAACCAGACTTGATTACCATTTTGATAGGGCAGCTCCATATCATCGGAGGTAAGCATTTCCCCCTTTCTGGTGTAGGTCCTCTCACAGAAGAATCCCTCAGAGATGAGAGTCACAGCAGAGAACATGAGACAAGCCTAGCCAGACATAACTTGAAAAAGCAGCTTTCCAAGTTCTGTGGCCAGATCATATCTAAGCCCCATCTTGCCCAACATCCTGTACCCTACACTGGTCTCCCAGATGCCCTGGCTAGCGTACAAGTAGGATGATGGCCCTCACTTCCTGCTGCTCCTCAGAACTGGTATTCAGAGGCTCACCACCTCCGAGATTGGAAATAAGACCCAGTATTGCAACTTGTAGCCCTCACTACTAATCACTACTGCTAGTCTTACCTTCTTTAGGTATATCTAAAAACTATGTAGGTTGGTGACCTTCCCCTGAGTCTATGGCAGTGGATCTCTTTCATGGAAGGACCTTCTCCACAGCAATGAGCTCTGCCTTTTGGCGACAAGGCCACTTCTCCTGTTCTCTGACACTCACCCGTTGGGCATAAGCCTGATCTTCTTGGGGCTGGTATAGTTTCCTAATCTCTGTGGTCCTGTGAAACCAGAACAGGGTAGAAACATAATTTAATATTGAATAGGTGTTGTTTTACTACAACTCCCACAATCCCCCAGCCAACACAGAGGCCATGGTAGGCAGATTCTGAGAGCTGCAATCCCAAAATAAAGGATGTTTCCCAAACTCTGGTCTTAGCATGCAGCGGTCAAGAGCAAACAAAGCCGTGGTAGAAAAAAAAAAACCCAAAGCCCTGCACTCTCTCAAGGCAGGAAAGATACTGCTGGTCTGTATCTCTTGGTGTTTCCCCACTTATTTGCAGTGTGTACAAATATAAATAAAACCCACTGTCTCCTGGACAACTTATATCCTTAAACCAACACTTTTTGAACTTTACATAAATGGTGTGTGCATGGACAAAATAAAATTTTAGATTACAAATGAACTTGGGAATGTAGATGAGTTGGACTAGAACTCTCTCACCCCAACCATTGTTCAAACTGGTTGGGGATGATGAGGGTTAAAGCATAAGACATCTGAAAGTTTCCAGGTCATGTATTCCTCTATTAACATTGAACCAAAGAGTGTGTCAGCCAGGAAAGCAGTGAGTGCCTCGCCTGTGGATGATTCCCTGCAGATTACAGAAACATTAATTAATTTCTCTCACACAATAAAAATGGGTGAAACCCCTATCTATTCCCGGTGGCACATATAACTTTCTTCTTCCCTAATTTAACCTTGCAACAACAACTCTGTGAGAAAGGTCAGCAGTCACCCCAAAGGCATCCTGTGAGTTTTGAGGACTTGACCTTAGTTTTCCTAATCCCAGTTCTACACTTCCAGGAGTGTATCATTTTGGTTGACACAACAAGTATATACACTGAAGACAGATTGCTCTGTGAAGACTTACCTTCTTTTATCTTTAGCACCATTGGGTTCAAGGAGTGAAGGTTGAGATGGGTTATTCTGAGGAGGAGTCAGGTTCTTTAAGAGATTCTGAGACAAGCAAACCAGATTACATTTCGTTGGCATTTGCTGGCACAACAGACATCTCTTTGGCTTCTCTCGGTTCCTAGAGCAGGGAAACAGGAAAGCTTTAAAGCTGGAATGGAGTTCAGGATACAAGCTGAAAAGAGTGGGCCTTACCTGACCACACAGTCCTCACAGACATAGTTGTCAGACAAGCCTTCAGGGACAGAGATGTTTAGTGGAGGCAGGTGAAAGGGGACAACCTTCTTTCCATCCTGGACACAAACCAAGCCTCCACGAAGCAAGAGAGGAGCCCAGCTGGATGATGGACGGTACAGCACCATTCCATGGACTACGCACCATCCGCGGATCATGTCTAAAATGAAAAGGAGGGGTAGTTCAGCAGCACCCCACAGACCTGGCTTCAGTTTACCTAGTTTCACAGAGTCAACTCCATTCCTTCCTATAAACCTTTTTTTTGCACTTATATTTTGTTCCCTACAACTCATTTCACAAATGATCTGGTCACCTGTTTTTTCCTCAGACGTCTCTGTTTTCACATCCTTCATCAGGTCCAGAGGAGGGGCTGTCAGAGGGGCCTATAAAGCGAAAGTGTGAGAATTAGAGTGGGCATAGAGTTGACCCCCTCCATTCTGGCCTTATGCTTTCCCTTATTGCACAAAACTCTTCCTTTCTCCCCTCATCTTTGGACCCAGTGCTCCACAGAACTAAAGTAGCTCCTCTCTCCCTTTAAATAAAACCACCAAGGCCACTTTATCTGTGAGCCATTTTGGAGTGCGAGAAGCCCATGCACCCTTCCAGAGCTTGTAAACTTTACCTCTTTGAACTACACCTCTCTGTAATCATGCTGGCTGGAGGATTCTGAGAGCAAATGTCCAAACAAATAAAATTTCTATGCTCTGTCTCTTACCAATCCCTGCACTCTCCATTCACTTTTTGCATGCCTTCTTTATTTCGACAGCAAACAACATCTGAATTTGGTTCAGAACTAGCACAGAAGTGACAAGTTGTAGCCATTAGAACACAACAGTCCCACTAGATCAAGTAAAGTTGTCTTTGTGTTCAGAAACAGGTCGTGAAGACAACAACCTTCCAATGTTCTTTATTCCTTTGATCCCATATTGGCATTCAGAGACATACTGCCTTTCAACATGGAGGTTTCATTTGGATATCATGGCTAATAAACAACAATTAATATATTTTCCTAGGTAATCAGAAACCAGCACATGAAGCCACCAACAGACTGAGGAATATAGTGATCCATTAAACTCAGAAGTATCTATTCTGACTGCCAATGACTTTCCTAAGGTCAGATAGACAGTAACTTCCACTAGCCCTACCAAGATGGGCAATGGTGAGGAATTAGGGAAATTGTAATTCAGCGATATCTACAAGTTGTCAAACTTTTTTCTAAGATGCCAAACAAAATTTTCCCCTGTTATCAAAATCCTGATGCCCCACTGCAGCTGGAGATGGAAAATGTATGCAAGCATAAGCTCTGCCATGGGACATCATAAAGTCGCTTCTCAGGATTGCTAAGTCATTTCCATAATATTCCTTCAAAATTCTCATTTCTAATCTAGATGTGGATTTTTCCAATCAACTGGGCTATTCAAAACAGCACAGAAGAACCTACTCCTGCCCGCCATCCTAGACCTGCAGTCACTAACCTCATGAATCTGGCAATGCTCCTCAACTTTGGCTGTTTTCTCTTCTTTGCTTTCCACTGTTTTCAGCAGAGGCTCTCCATGAAAGGCTTTCAACCTTTCCACAAGTTCAGCATTCTGTGTGGGAAAACAAGTAGGAAAACAGGCAGATGGAAGAGTTGAACACAAAGAGACAGCTCCAGGTATAAAACCTGGATAAACTAGAAAGAATAATAACAATAAAGAAGTAAATGTAGCTCTTCTCCTTCTCTAAGGCTGCAGTGGTCCAAAGAGAACCATCAGCTGGGAGCTGCCATTTTAATTTCCCACAATGTCCTCAGAGTGATGATTTGTTGGAGGCGCTGTGGGAAATTAAGATAGCAATTAGGCCAGGAAAAAAAATATTTCAGGAGGGAAATCACAGCGGGTGTCAGTGGTGGGGCCTGTCAAGACAGTGGGTTTCAACAGCTACTCAAGGATACTGGGACCGAGAGCAGTGTTGTTAACAGTTGTCTTGAGGTTAAATATGCTTGAGGGCTGGCCTCATCTGCCTACCTGCCAGTGTATATGGGTGAATGGTCTCAGATTTTCTCTCTTGAAGTCTCTCAATATCATGAGGAAGAACTTCTGTGGTCATGGTCAATGACTGTATATTACTACACAGAGGGATAAGGGCTACAGTTACTTGTTGTTTATTATTCTTTTTCAAAAACACAAGGCACAGTCAATCAAAATTATAAAAAATATTGACTGGTATTACAGAACAGATACAAGTTATAACCAAAAACCTACGTATGTTAAATATCGGCGCAGTATGTACGCAATATATTCCTAATATTGCCATTTTCTGTAGCTCCGATGGTGTGATTTCTGAGATCTGCAACTGCTTATAGTACTGTGTGAAATTTGATATTGTTTACAAAGCCCCAGTGACTACAAGGACCACTGAAGTGTGTTTCATCCACAAGCAAAATGTTTCGATTGGCAGGTCTCTGTATTTTGTTAGTTTTTCCAATTCTTTATTTTCAACTCTGGCATCCCCTGGAATTGCAATGTCAATGATCCAGACATTTCTTCATTCTATTACTATGTCTGGTGCATTATACTCAAGGTGTCTGTTTGGATCCGGAAATCCCACAGGAGCTTGATTTTCCTCATTTTCTGACACCTTCTCTAACATTCTCATGGGTTTTTGGAGGCTGGCAAGTTGTATTTTTTGCATAATGACCAGTGCACTAATTTTGCTACTCCACCATGTCTAATTTTGTAATCTGTTTGTGCAATCTCTGGATATTCTCAGATGAGGTGTAACACAGTTTCATCTTTTTCTTTCATCATCATACATATATACATACAAAAAATGTGCATTTAATACAGTATCAGTTGTATTGCATTACAGTTACTTCTGAGCAAGCATGGTTCTCTACTTTGCCTCGAAAGAGGAAAACAGAATTTTGTTCATCGTTTTTCAACACAAAGATACAATCCAGTGATGGTCAAACTGTGGCTCTTAAGGCTACAGTTCAATTAGTCCTGGCCAGCACAGCCAAAGGTGAGTGTTTATGGGAGCTGAAGTCCAGCAACATCTGGAGGGCCACTAATTGCCCATTCCTTATATGGCCAGACAGGCTGTGCAGTTCCTTCTCATCTAATAAAAGAGCTGCTGGATAGCTCAGTGGTTTAAGCATCTGGCTGCGGAGCCAGAGGTTGGGAGTTTGTTTCCCCACTGTGTCTCCTTGACAGAGGCTGGACTCAAGTGATCCACAGGATCCCTTTCAGCCCTGCCATTCTAAGTAGTGGGAGGAAATCACTCAGAAAACCCAAGACAGATTGAGACAATCTCTTCTCACCTTTCCTGTGGCTCGAAGTCCCACCTTCTTGCATTGTTGTTGCAGCTGGACCCTTTTTAGAGTGCTGTAGTCCGCTGAGGACGTTCCACTGGCTGGTGGACAGGCAGAGTTCCTGGCTGGTTTGTGCAGAGGAGGGGTGGAAGCCGATCTGGTTGTTTTGCGCCGCGGGCGGGGCATTCTGAGAACCCTAAACTATAAACAGAATAACAGAAATCAGAGCAGGGAAGATTAGCCATAATTTCCCTCTATCCTTCAGCGCATGAGCCTTCATGTGCAGGAAGGACAGTGGGAGCCAAACCTTTTTCTTCCTCTTAAAAAAAGGTTAATGATTAAACAGTTTTATGAGATGAAACAAATAAAATGAAGACAGAGATACTATAGACTCAAACTGAAAAATCATAACGTTTATGTCATGGTTTGTTCCTATACTTGACCCAAAGAAGAGCACACAGATGAGAATCATGCAGCCCCAGAGGCAGTCTCTTCCATGGCCCTGATGCTGGAAAACCTTGGTGTGGGAAACACACAGCTCTGTCCTTCAACAGATAGGGGCGTCCAAGGGATCTAAGAGGAACAGCCCAGGAGCTGCCTTTGCTGCTTCACCAACACCCACAGCCTGGGCAGCTGCCTGATTCTGGACAATGACAGCGCTAATCCTGATTGGTCCAAGACCTGCAAGAAGAGTGGAAGAGCACCAAGTGCTCCTGTTCAGTGATCCAGACAGAAGCCCCATCAACAGACACTCACTATACCGTGGCCCCTCTGCATATTCAGTTCTTATTCGTTTGTTTGAGGTCTGTTTCTCTTTATCCATCAATGCTTTTTTTCCTCCAAGAGGTATTCCTCCCCCCCACACACACACACATTTTCACACAACTTACAAGTTTCTTCAGACAGGCTGATACCTTCGTCTTGCTCCTCAGCAGCTCCCTTTTGCCTACATAACCATCATACCCAAGCACCTGTTTTTGCCATTCAACAATGGCTTTTATCGATTTGATGCTTAGTTTTGTATTGCTTTTATGTAGTGAGTCAGCTTGGCAGAGTCTTGTACCCCCAAAAGTAATCTAAAATATTTCAAATCCATTTTGCAACTATCAGATGGTCAATGAAACCATTGTGGGCAGAAGAGGTACATGAACAAGGGAGAAGATGAAAACATCATAGCCAATATCCTGTTCATATTTACATGTGCAGCACTCCAACTGTGGCAGCTGCCATAGCAATCTAATAAGGTGTTCATTGTGTGTAATCACATGTGCAATCATATGACCTGTCAGATCACCATAGCAGCTTCCCCAGCTGGAGTTGTGTGCACATAAATATGGAACACAAGACTAGCCTATGTAAGTAATTCATGCAGAATCAGAGCAAGTTTATTGCATGTTTACTGCCCAAAGGGGCAGCACTCATCTTTGTTAGTAATTCTGGCATCCATTTGGGGATCCATTTGGAATCATTATTCTGTATATTAAATTGCATCAATAGGAAGCAGACTGGGGAAAGTAAAAGCACGTTGGATACAGAATTGATTCAAACTGAAAGTGAATCATGGACTCAAGGAGACTGGTAAAATATGAGGCTGTGAAAAATTAAAGCAGAATGGAAAGAATAGGCCAGAGCAGTTTCCTCCTAATGCTAGAACTCCAGCAAAGGCTTTCTGCATCTGTTTGCCTGCCTGGGGGACACCTTTGCACCAGCTGCAACATGCCTTATATCACAGAGGAACAGAAGTCAACTTCCAAGTTACGTATGTGTTCATTTTGTTCATAGTTCATTTTGTACAAGGTTCCAGGTGAACCAAGTAAATTTGGGTCTAGCTAAGAGCTTGTGAATGTTAGTTTTTTGGGCTACAGCTCCCAGATTGTGCCTCCAAACAAGCTCTGGTTCCATGGGATCTGATCATGTTCTACAAGGTGTCCCTTGCAGCCAGACACTGTAGTAACAACACAAGACATGATGGGCAAGTTACAACTGGAACAACATGACTGCCTTTATTTATGCCGTCTCCTTAAGCAACTCTAAGATACCTAGGAATATGGTTTAAACACAAGTTGGCTAGAAGTAAACTAGACAAACATAAAGATTCATTTTTCTGAGAGGGAATTGTCAGACATTTTGATTCTGAAGATGGCTTGAGGGACTGGCTGGATAGCTCAGTGGTTTAGATATCTGTTTGCAGAGCCGGAGGTTGGGGGTTCAATTCCCAACTGAAACTCCTGCAAGAAGATCCAGCCTGTGTAACTTTGGGCAAAGTGCACACTCCCAGGATGGCCCTCAAGCCGGAGTACATCCCCGCACACTAGCCCAAAGAATGAGAGCCAATCTACTGCGGTGGTTAAAACCAGAGGAAAGGACCAAGGAACAATTGTTAGACATAATTATCATGAAACAATTGATTAACACTTGAGTACGAACGTGAAAAGTTGGGTGCAGAAAAATAATCTGAAGAAGGTGGAGGAAGCGCTCCACCTAGTGGAGGATTACTGCATGGCAGAGGACATCAATAAGGAAAACTCCGCCCCATGGGGCAAAGGCGGGAGAGCACACGAGAAGACGACGTTGAACCTAGGAGCTGGTGAATGGTGCAGCAAAGAACCACAGGCGTCCTTTTGAACCAACGGGCCCAAAGCCGGTGCGGCCCATTACTTTTGATCATCGTTTATTTGAGCCAGGCTCTGGCTTGAAAATTGGCAAGGACGGCCACCCTGTGTGTTTTGACTGCGGCTTGCCAGGACACGTGATACGGGACTGCCCAGGAACTTGTTGTTCTTGGGTAGGACAACAGCAAAAGACAGTGCAGAAGCAAGGGGCAGATCAAGAAGGCTGGGAGGTAGAAGAGTGGGTGAATGGAGAAAAGAAAAGCGCACTGATAGATATGGGGTGTGGCAAGATACTGGTGTGGGACTTGAAATGTGGACAACTGGAAGAGGGGTTGGTGGTAAAGCGCATACATGGAGATGTTAAATCTTACCAAACAATGTGGGCAGAAGTGAAAGTAGGGGACGAATCACAATGAATGAAGGTGGGCGTGGTACCAGGTTTGTCTCAAGAAATGCTGTTAGGACTGGGTAGGGACATGTTCCATATTTGATTCTAAGGATGGAATGCAGGGAGACTGTGTAGAGACTGGAGATGAGAGTGATTTTTTGTACAGGCTTGAGTATGGCAGCAGGATGACAGCACATTGCAGGAACATCTACAAGAAGCCCAGGAGGTGGGAATTATACCAAGAGGGGAGAAGGGTGTGGATATGTGTGATGGTTTGTTGTATTTGTAAATGAGGAAGGGGAACAACAGTTGGCAGTGCCACAGAAATGGAGGCAGAAGGTTCTGAGATTGGCACACGATATACCTATGACTGGGCACTTATTGTATGAAAAGATGGGACCCCGAGTAAAGCAAAGGTTTTGGTGGCCTGGGATGGATAAAGATATCACAAACTATTATCTGACCTGCCCTGAATACCAGAAAACACTAGCCAAACCCAGGCCAAGGGCAGACCTCATTCCCATGCCCCTGGTAGACCAGCCTTTCCAGAGAGTGGGAATTGATATTGTGGGACCATTGTTGAAATCAGCAGGTGAACATAGCCACATCCTAGTTATCATAGATTATGCCACCAGATATTCAGAGGCCATACCCTTGAGGTCTACCACGGCCAAGGTGTTAGCGAGAGAGCTGATGCACGTGTTTTCTTGGTTGGGCTTTCCAAAAGAGGTTCTGACTGATCAAGGTACGAACTTCATGAGTCAGACCTTTAAGGATATGTGGCGCCTGCTAGAGGTGAAGCCAGTCCACACAGCAGTTTATCATCCCCAAATGAATGGACTGGTGGAAAGGTTTAACAAGACGTTGAAAAGCATACTGCGAAAGTTAGTAATGGAGAAGCCTCGTAGGTGGTATCTGTTGGCAGTACCATTGATGTTTGCCATTCAGGAAGTTCCTCAGGCTTCTTCCACGTAAATTTGCTAAAAGAATGGAAGGAACGAGAAGCGTTATGAGGAGAAGTAGGGGAGGAAAACTTTGGCCCCGAGGCTAAAAACTGCCTACAGAAAGACTTAAGGATTATCATCAGTGAGGAGCTAGATGAAGGGCAAGAGCAGCAGTTAAAGGAGATTGAACAGGAGTTCCAGAATGTTTTTTCAGGGCTGCTGGGTCATACAAACCTGATAGAACATCCCATTAACACTGTACCTCAAGTGGTGGTGGTGGTAAGATCTGGGGGGGGGGGAGGAATTGGCCTCACCATCTAAAAGAAACCATAAACAAAGAAATTGATGAGATGCTAGAGTTAGATGTGATAGAACCATCGCACAGCCCTTGGCGAAGTTACCCAGTGGTGGTACCAAAGGCAGACGGGAGTGTACTATTGTGTATAGACTTTAGGAAGCTAAAGGAGGTGCCCAAGTTTGATGCCTATCCTATGCTCAAGATAGAAGACCTACTAGAGAGGTCAGGAAAAGCGGAATACCTGACCTTGCTAGATTTCACAAAGGGGCATTGGCAGATTCATCTAAGGGAGGAAGACAAGGAAAAGATGGCCTTCGTCACCCCCAAAGGATTGTTCCACTTCTCCAGAATGCCGTTTGGGTTGCATGGTGCAGTGGCTACCTTCCAGAGATTGATGGATAGGGTGTTAGAACCAGTGAAGGAGTTTTCAGGAGCCTACATCGATGACATACTGATTTATAGTAATAGTTGGGAGGAACATTTAATCCATCTTCGCAGAGTGTTAACAGAATTAGGAAAGGCAAGACTAAGAGTGAATCCTGTAAATACAAGATAGCATGAAAGGGGGTAAAATTCTTGGGCTTCCAAGTGGAGCAAGGGAAGATTCAACCTGTATCGGATAAGGTAACATCCTGAGTTGTTCCTCGAACCAAGAAGGAGGTACAACAATTCTTGGATTTGGCTTGTTGTTACCGACAGTTTGTTCCCAACTTCGTGGAGATAGCTGCTCCCCTTACGGATATGACTAAAAAAAAATCAAATAGTCTGGGGAAGGCTGGAGCATCAAGCTTTTGTGAGACTGAAAGAGATATTGGTGGAACTTCCAAGTAGATATGCCCCTGATTTCAACTTGCCTTTTTATAGTGCAAACCGATGCCTCTGATAGGGGAATAGGAGAAGTGTTGTCACAAAGGGGATGTGGAGCACCCCGTGATGTATCTCACTAAGAAGTTGAACGCTTGAGACCAGAAGTACACAACAATTGAAAAGGAAGCTTTAACAGCCAAGTGGGCAATACAGACACTTAAATATTATCTGTTGGGATCCCCTTTTACGTTGGTAACAGATCATGCCCCATTACAAGGGCTAAATCAGATGAAAGACACCAATCCTAGGTTAATGCATTGGTACCTATGTCTCCAACCGTTTATGTTCAAACTGTAGTACTGGAAAGGCAGCAATCATGTTAACACTGATTATTTTTCCTGACAGGGAGACAGGGGCGTGGAGACAGAAGAGAGGATGGCCCACTCGTCGGGGGGAGGCATGTGAGGTACAGAGAGAGTGTATGCCATCCTCAGCAGAGAAAGGACAGGAGGAGATAGCCGGATGTGTAGAGGGAGAACTCATAAGGACAGAAGATGAAGTGAAGGGTGAGAGGGTGACAGAGATATGTCTGGCAGAAGATAAGGAGGGGGATACAGGGGAGGAGCAAGATCTGATACTATGGGAGGTTATACAGTGGTACCTTGACTTATGAACATCCCTACTTACGAACATTTTGACTTACGAATGGCTCTGGTTGGAACTTTTTGCTTCGACTTGCGGCTGGAGCTTCCACTTATGAACAGAAACAGGCAGGGAAAAGAGGCGGGCAATTCAACTTTCTAACTGTAGATGGCCCCGAGGCTGCTTCTTTGTGCTGTAGCTCATTCGGCAGTTATAGGGTGTGTCGCAATTGGAGGCTTGGGAGAGCCTCCTGCTTCAGAGTGAGTGTGTGTGTGTATGCAGAGAGGGTTTGTTTCTGTGCTCTGCTTCGGAGCAAGTGTGTGTCTGTGTGTCTGTATTTTTGGAGTTTTTTTTCCTTCTTAAACCTCAGCAACGGAGGTGGCTCTAGTGTCTGTCTGTTTTTTGAGGTTTCTTCTTAAAACCTGAGCAACGGAGCACCTTCCAACTGGGCGTGCTGTGCTCTTTTGATTTTTTTGGTTATTTTTTTCCTCTGGGCAGCAGGGGGGAAAGCTGTGGCTGCTGATCGGAGTGAGGGAAGCTGCAGAGGAGCAGGAGGCGGCAGGTCCTCAGCAACGGAGGTGGCTCTAGTGTCTGTCTGTTTTTTGAGGTTTCTTCTTAAAACCTGAGCAACGGAGCACCTTCCAACTGGGCGTGCTGTGCTCTTTTGATTTTTTTGGTTATTTTTTTCCTCTGGGCAGCAGGGGGGAAAGCTGTGGCTGCTGATCGGAGTGAGGGAAGCTGCAGAGGAGCAGGAGGCGGCAGGTGGGCAGGCAGGTGAGCGCTTCCCGGCCAGGTCTCTGGCCCCGGCCCCATTCACTTCGGCCAGCCTTTGAGGCTCCCTTTCTCTCCTGGATTTTGTTTTCTTTTTTGCAGCCCCAGCGCATTCCTATGGGGCTTGCAGTGTTTTATTTTTTTATTTGGGGTGTATTTTTTTTCTTCAGCCGGAACGGATTAATCGGTTTTCAATGCATTCCTATGGGAAATGGTGCTTTGACTTACGAACATTTCAAGTTATGTACACTGTTCCAATATGAATTAAGTTCATTAAGCCGAGGTACCACTGTAAAAGGGGATGAAGAGGTGCGGGAATTTAGAGTGGAAGTAGACATGAAAGAGGGAAACAGGAAAGACAGCGCGGTACAGACAGATAGTGTGGACGAACAGGCTAATAAGGTTTGTGACCTGTTGAAAGAATTCCCAAACCTTAAAACAGAAGGAGGGTTGCTTCCCGACCCCCTCCTCCTCTAGGGGTGTGAGAAAAGTAGTGAACCCCCTAGAACGGACAGTCATGGTCTTTCCCTGCAACCAAGGTGGAGGGAGGAAAGTGATCGGACCCGGTCCCATCTGCAACACACCACCCCTGGAGGGGGATTGGGCGAGATACCCATGTTGTGGAACAGTGTACCCCATTGGAACACATTGAACAGGTTTCAATGGGGTTTTATTTTCGCTTTATGATGTTTTCGCTTAATGACGATTTTCCTGGAATGGATTATCGCCGTTAAGCGAGGCACCACTGTAATTCCTGAATTAAATAGTTTGACCCTTTTGAACTTGTTAGTAAAGAAGTAGAAGAAAATAAAGTTAAAGTTGTTGAACAATTCAAATCGCCTCTGTCTCTCATTCCTGCCAAAATGAAGGAGCCATCACCAATTCAAGAAGAACCCAATTACAGACATTCCCGACAAATATCAAGGTCTTAAACTTTTAAGGACTCATGACCAATAGGTCTTAAATTAACAGGAAGCCAATGAAGGCATGACAAACTTGGGGATATGTGTTCATACAGTGGACCCTCTACTTAAGGAATTAATCCGTATTGGAATGGTGGCTGCAAGTCGAAAAGTCTGTAGGTTGAATCTCCATTGACCTACAATGCACTGAAAACCGATTAATCCCATAACCAGTGGTTTTTATTCTATTTTTATTCCATTTTGGGTTTTTTCTGGTCTGTAAGTCGATTCTCTGGCTGCAAGTCGAATCTAAATTTTGCAGCCAGAGAAGTCTGTAACTCGAAAAGTCTGTAAGTCGAGGGTCCACTGTATCTGCTAGTACCTGTGATCAGTCTAGCAACCACATTTTGGACCCGCTGAAGTTTTTGTATTGACTTCAAGGGCAGCCATAGGTAGAGAGTGTTACAGTTGTCTATTTTAGAGATTACAAATTCATGGGCCACTGTTATTAAGCATTTCTTATCCAGGTAAAGGTACAGCTGGACAATCAAGTGAAGTTGATAAAAGGCACTCTAGACCACACAGATATTTGTGTCTCCATAGAGAGAGCCGAGCCCAAGAGTACTTCCAAGCTGCAAACCCAATCCTTCAGGCGGAATGTGACCCCCACTGAGGCCAGGTAAGCAAGAAGGGCTGCCAATCTTTCCAACAGGAGGATGTCTGTCTTATCTGAATTCAGTTTCCATTTATTGGCTCTAGCCTAGTCCTTTATCGACACTAGGAGGTGCTCAAGAACCTATTCACTGCAGATGAAGAAAAGGAAAGACAGGGCTGTGATTCATCTGCATATGGATGGCAACGAATTCCAAATCTCTGTATGACCTCTCAGCCACTTCATGTAGATATTAAAAACACTGGGAAACGGCTGGTCTCTGAGGGACCCCATAACAGAGATCCCAAGGGGTGGACACTGCCTCCCCAAACTGTACCATCTGATATCAGCTCTCAGAGAAGGACTGGAGTCACTGAAGAACAGAACCCTCAAGTTCCAAACTTGATAGCCATCTCAGAAGAATACCGCGGTACCAAAGACCACAGAAAGATCGTGGAGGACCGGCAAGGTTAGATGCCCCCTGCCTGCTTCTCTTGAAGAGTGACCAACGCCTTTTCAGTTATGGGGTACAGCCTGAACCCCAAACTGAAACAGACCTAGACTATCCATTTCCTACAAGAAGACCTGCAGCTGGTCAGCCCCCCCCCATCAACTTTCCCAAGATTTGAATAGTGGCAATGGGCCTGTGGCTATTAAAACCATCCATTGCTCAGTCTGGTTTCTTTGGAATGGACCTTGTAACTGTTTCCTTGAAACAAGAAGATAAACCACACTCTCCTGAAGAGACATGAATGATGCGCATAGCCAGCTCCTTTGCTTATTTTAAGAGCCACAACACCTAGCAAAATTTGCAATAAAGACCAGAAATTCCAAACTAACCCCCGTATCCTATCTGTGCACAGTCACTTAACGTTACAGCCCACGTTCCTGATTCAAAAGGATTTATCCCAGCCTGCCACAGCTGCCTGTGACATAAGGAAAGGGGGCAGACCAGGAAGGCTCCACATTTCTGCTGCCGGCTGAGAAAGCTCTAAAATAGAATAACGGAATACGTACTAACAACCACCACCTGTATACCCAGGGACGAACTTCCGTTACCACGGAACCGATCTCGTTAACAAGCCCCAAGGCAACAATCTACCATTGTTCTGAGGGAGTAAGAAAGCAATCAAAGGAGCAATCCCGTCTCCGTAGCAGAACGAGATTGCGCCGCAGCAGAAGTACATCACGCGGGACTAGAAACTTGGCAAGAAGTCTGGCAAAGAAAAAAAAGGTGAGCAACCGATTGGGAGAAAAGAAACAGCTTGTTCTTTCTATGAGGATCGCAACGAGTATTATTCTCCTCCGTAATTATAAAGGAGGAAGGCAGCAGGAACAGAGGAAGACGAAATATGAGATGGATTGACTCCCGAAAGGAAGTCTACAATAGCCGAGCAGGGTTGCTAAGGAAAGGAACTTTTGGAGATCGCTCTTTCATAAAGTCGCCATAAGTCGGAGGGGATTTGACAGCAAATAACAACAATTTGGACTACAAGAATTAAAACCTCTTTGATTTCAGCAGCGGCGATGTTAAGAAACATATAGAAAAGGGGGGAAATGAAATGGAAGAGGACAGAAAAAAAAACAACAACGAGGCATTTCAACCCACCTTGACCCTCGATGCTACGCGTCCTTCTACAGGATCTGCAAAAAAAGCTCTTTTTCAAACTGCGCGCACGTCCGGCGGCTAAATGGCCCCTCCCAGCTCACGCCCCTTTCCTGGGGACTTCTCTGCGCCTGCGCTAGCCGCTCTGTCCTTCTCCTTCAGGGGGAAGTGGAAAAAAAGATGGCGGCGCCGATGTGAGCGAGAGGAGTGTAGAAGGTTTGAATGAGAGTGAACTCCGCTTCCCTGGTACGCAGGTAATGGTGCACTTACTTCCTCTGCGGTTGTTGTATAGGAATTAGGAATAGCGGTGGCGAGATGAGCGGCTTAGAGGTTGGGAAACAGCACCGAGGGATCGCTGTTTGGGAGCGTGATGGCTTGCAGAGTTTAGGCAACTACTCGGGATATATTCGGGGTGTGTGTGTGTGGGGTGGTCATAGGGAAAAAAAGCAGGCAAGCTTAATTTTTTTACATAATCACTTAAAGATAAAACTGTCCGCCTAAAAGGGATAATCGATAAGGTTAGGGGTTTCTGGGATAATCTTATATTTTTTTAGGTGGCCTCTTCCTTCTCTACATGGTTGGGATTCAGCTGAGACTTTGTTGAGTTTCACAGAGAAGAAAAAGAGAAATTGTGGCGTCCTTGAAGTCTACAGATTTTTGTTTTAGCATGGGCTTCCCTTGATTACAATCCAGTTTTTCAGATACAAATGGCTTTTGGTTTTTGCCCTGATCAGCAGCTCAGACAAAGAGGCAGTAGCTGCTACACCTGGTCTGAGTTTGTGGAAGGCAATACTGTACAGTCCAAAAAGCTGGTCAGGTAGCCCCTTCGTTATTCAGTGTTTTCCTGCCACCCCGTCTCATGGCTTTCCTTTGGTACTTCTTCCTTCTGGCCAATTCAGCAATGAGCATGTGGATATTGGCATTTGAGTGGGCTGGATAGCACTGCTTGGTTGGGAGAGCAGGAGGACAAAAATTGACTTTTTTTTTTGTATCTCTCCTTTTCTCCAAAGAGTTTAGCCTATGTAAAGACATGCAGCTCAAATCACATGCAACAGATGTCTGAAGTTACAAATGTCTCTGGTCAAACTACATCAAGCAACCAGGCATTATAAATAGGGACAGTTAAAACAATAATAAATGGCAGAGCCTTGACCTCCAGCTGTGATGTACTTGTTTTACGCAAGACATTTCGGGAGGAAACATCTGTCTTCTGGCATCTACAAACATAACCTTTACAAGTTGAAGACTAGGCTAGAAGCTTTCTTTTTGACAGTTTCATGTTTCTACCAGCAAGGAGGTTTTAGTATGGAGGGCAACAGTCATGAAGCTTCCTTTTTTTTCTTTTTTCTTTTGCCTGTGAAATAGTTTCACATTTCTGGATGACTGTGGTGTTCCTCGTAAAGCACATCATTGCATTTGATTTCATTTCCACAAGAAGTTGCAACAGCTACCAACTTGGATTGGCTTTAAAAGTCTATTAGACATGACAGCTCTGAGGCAGTGTGCCTCTGGAAGCGTGTTGTTGTGCTTGTCATCCATTGGCACTGGGATGGAGGAGAGCTGAATGCTGGGCTAGATGGACTTTTGACCTGAGCCACAGAGCTTGTGTGCTCTTACGTTCTCCTGAATGTATAAATTAGTTTCTCATCAAAGCATGCACTTCTTTGCTTTCTATAGAACATCACCCAAATATCCATTATAGTATAGTTATAGATGTTATAGATGCATCCTTTTTACAATTTATGTGGAAATGCCATTCATTTTAAAGTTTATTTCAAAATATGCCAAGCGCCTTTACAGATAGAACTCTGCTCAAGGTGTGATCCACAATAAATTAAGTGAAAGAACATTGGCGTTTAGTAGCGCAGCACAAATGTCTCAGCTTGCGGCATCCCAAGTAAAAGATCAACAATCCATTTCTAAGATATTTGAGACTAATTTTCATTTTCTTTTAATTTTAAGAACCACAGAGAGAAAGATGGGGTGGCCACATGTGGAATAAAATATTTGAATGTCTATACCCTATTCAAGATAAATTCCTAGGCCCTTTCTGTGTAGATGCCTTAATCGACAGAACAAATAAACTGAGCTCTTTCTTGAAGATGTCAGCAAATGAGGACAGATTTGTTTCTCAACCTATGTTTAGCCCAGTACTTTGCTTCCATACTGTCCATATCTTCTAAGAAGAACTTTTCTGTACTGGACATTTTCTAAAAGGCAGCATTATTGTGTTATTTTTAACTAAAGCATTTCATATCTGTCAGGTTACTAATGATCACAAATTAAAATTGCTGTGTATTTTTTTAAACAGGGCTGCCGATAAATGCTGAAGAATGTGGTGCCTTTACCATAGATTTCATAATTATCCTTCATGCTGGAAGAAAGAATTAATTGGAGTATTGGGCCCAATCAAATGGCAGAAGCGACTACTCCGAAGATGCATCAGATCTATTTGTAGTGAAACAGGGAAGTGGGAAGAAAACTATACATTGGAGACTAGGGAAAAACTTGAAAGTTGGTGGCATTCAAGAGTCAAGGACCACTTCAATAAATCAATCGAAATAGATGTAAGGATTATGGCAGCATTCAACTTTTTATCCTATGGCCCATTAAATACTTTCATTTGTTACTGGAAATATTGGCTCGCATCCTACTCAGTATTAACGTGTATGCAGAACTCTGTCTGTAGAAGTTTGCAGCTTGGTGTGCTCCTGGATGTGGTCCTGAGCCTGGAAATACCAGTTTTGGCATTTGCACAGTGAAAGATGGTGTGGCAGCTTTGGCTATGGCTAGGCATGCCTTACTTAGTTCTCATTTGAATTGCTGCCACATGCTCAGTGTGGGGCTGTCTTTGAAATGTGTTCAGAAACTTGAGCTGGTTCAAATGCTGCACCCAGATAGCTGACTGGCACTGGTTATAGGGAGTGAATAACTCCCCTGTTACAACAGCTTCACTGGCTGCCAGGCTGTTTCTGAGCTCAGTCTAAGTTCTTGTTACATCCTATAAAGGCCTATATGGCTTGGGTGCAGGCTATCCAAGGACTGGATTGCTCCACAGAAGCCTTCTCAGCTGTTAAGGTCATGGAAGTCCTTTCTTTGAGACCCGCTACTCACAGACTTGTTTAGTGAGGATGCTAGATTGTCCCTACTCAGTTGGCTGCTTCCTGTCTTTGGAATGAACTGCCCTGAGAAGCCAGGTAGGCCCTCTCCCTTGTCCAGCAAAAACCTTCATTTTCAGGCAAGCTTTTGATCAATACCAGGAGTCATGAGTTGAGTTAGGAACGTTCCATTTCTTTTTTAACAATGTTTTTATAAGTTTTCAAAAATACTTTTAATAGTGCTTTAAAAATATCTTTACATGTTTCATCATTTTAACTTTACTTTTACTTTACTTTATTTGGACTTATACCCCACCCCTCTAGACAAAGTCTACACTAAAATGTGTTCTTTATAGTGTTTTAAAATAACATTTATTGTATGATTTTAGTTGACTGTGAGCCACTTTGAGTCCTCTATGGGGAGAAGGGCAGAACGTAAAATAAATAAGATAAGCAGTGGAAAACAATAAAGGGAACCGTGGTGTAACTTTTAAAAATCAAAATGTGGAGAATACCTTTTTCAAAGTTATAGCTCACATCCTGCTTCTTTGTCTGGTTTTCCTCTAGAAATCAAAACCAAAGTTTTACGTCCTGTCAATGTTTCCATATCCCTCTGGAAAACTTCACATGGGCCATGTTCGAGTCTACACCATGAGTGACACGGTTGCACGGTTTCAGAAAATGAGAGGCTTTCAGGTATTGTTGGCTTTGTCAACTGGATGGCCTGGTTGACATTTGCTTGGAGACTGCTGAGGGGCATGGGAAGATCATGATACTTCTCATTTTAGAAAATACACTAAAGGTTTTTAAGAACAAATCAAAGCAGAAACTTTAAGAAGAGTTGATGATAATAAATGATGAGGACCTGTACAAGATTATGAAGAAGCCACAAGCTGTAGTGTATTTTTTAAAGATTCTTTATTTTATTAAATGAAAACATAGTGTAAGAAGCAAAAGAACAACAAACAGAATAGCAAACAAATAAAGAAATAAAATACAATAATTATACACAAACAAAATCGAAACAAAGTGCTTCCCCCCACTGGGACCAATGGAGAACTAGACCTTTTCCTTTATTTCAAGGATTCACATTCCCCTTCCAAAATTGTAACATTTCTTACTATGGTGCTCTTCCCTTCCCCTTCATTAATGCTTAATCAATAAAATCTCCCCAAATTTCTGCAAAAGTATGCCTTTTAAGCACTCCTTTTTAAACTTTAATATTGCGTGTTAATTTTTCATTAATAGGTGTATTCCATAACTCTGTATACCATTCACTTAATTGAAAATTATGTTTTATTTTCCAGTACTTGGCTATAATTAATCTAGCAGCTGTGACTAAATTAGAAATTAATTCTATAGTTGCCCACTTGTATTCTACCTTATCAAATATTGATTGAAGTGCTATTTTAGGACATACTTCTACATTTTGTTTGGTTATTTCTCTAAGTACCATTTGCCAAAATGTCATCACATTATCACATTCCCACCACATTTGAAAATATGTGCTGGTTTTCTGGCATCCCCTCCAGCACAACATAGAGTAATTTTTATTTATTTGATTTAGTTTCACTGAAGTTAGGTTCCATCGTCAAACAATCTTATAAAAATTCTCTTTAATCCTTTTAGACATGGATTTCACTGTTCATACATCCCATATTTTCTTCCGTCTTTCAGTGTCTATCACTTCCCTCATATCATGTTCCCATAAAACTCTCAGAGGATCCTGTTGATCCTCTGCTTCAGTTAATATTTTGTAAATTTTACTTACTATACCTTTCAATACTTTATTTTCTGCTAGAGTTTCCTTTTGTAATAACATTTCCTCAAATTTTGTAACTTCCCTATATTTACATTTTTTCCTCGATCAGTCTTTTGTCCAACTCTCACTGAACCATGACAATTTCTCCTGTCCTAATATGTTTTTAGTTACTCTTTACTCCCCATCTTTTCTACCCAATCTTTTAATCTGATTACTTGCTGTCTTCTTAACACACTCTCCAGATTTTCAAATTCCTAGGAAAGATTCCCAGTTCAGTCACTGGTCATAATGGTAGACTGAGCACATTCTTGTACTTATTCCAAATTAATAATGTATTTTTCAGGAAAGGATTACTAATTATTTTACCTCTATTTTTATCAGGTGGTTTGAAAATAATATTCTCAAAATTTAGATCTAGCTCAGTTGACTCCGTACCCCACCATATTACTTTATTAGGGTGTGCAATGATATCTCCAACTTTATTTAAGAACAGTTAATGATAATAAATGATGAGGACCTGTACAAGATTATGAAGAAGCCACGAACTATGTTGTAAAGTGACTAACTCTTCTGAATATTTTTCTTTCTAAACAATTAGCAGAGCTCTCACTTCTGTTCTCTACACCAGCTGACACCCTCTCTGCATTCTCAGTTTCATGTTTACCAGCATGAATATATAACATAGTCTATTTTTCATCTGGATATAAATATCTGACAAAAACCCTCAACATTTTACAAGCTTGCAATGATTTCAGCTAGCTGCTGAAACCCTTTTCAGCTAGAAAAGTAGTTCAGTCTATTTTGTCTATTGCATTTTGTGGAACCAATAGTGTTTTAAATACCCTGAGAAGGGGGAAAAGTGGACACTGAAAGCAATAGATTTGTGTCAAAATACTTCCTTTTTTGTTTTCACTTTTATTGTACGGAGGAAAGGGGGCAGTAGAAAAAAGAAACAGAGTTCTTGTGATAACTGATCACCTTTGCCGAATAGAGTTCAACTTTTTAAGTGAAAGTCTCAAACTAAGGATGTATTTGGTGCTCCCTTTGTAGAGAAACAGGCAAGTTATCAAAAGTATATAGATTATTAAGATTGGTACCTAGCTAAAGAACTCTTCAGCATAATCATATTTGTATTTATGAACACGAGACATTGTATTAAATGAGATTAAATCCTGAACGAATTTACATAGGATTGCAGTGGTAGCTGATAAATCATTTGAGTTTAAATCTTTTATATTTATATAAAAATATACAATGGCATGCTTTGTTTTTAAAAGCTACCTTCACAATGTTCTTTCTTTTCCTGTTCATTTTTTAATGTATCTTTATATGCTGTCTTTCTCCTCATGGGGAACTCAAGGTAGCTTATAGTCAACTAGAATCATACAACAATCACTGTTTGAAAGTTTACAGGGAATATACTAAAAACAATTAAATATATTGTAATATTGAAAAACAATTTTAAAAACATTTTAAACATAATTGTAACATTCCTGGAGCATTGAACAGGAGGTTTAACCATGTTAACTTGCGTTGGTTGTTGTGGGTTTTCCGGGCTGTTCTTCCTTAAGAAAAACCTTAAGAACATGGCCAAACAACCTGGAAAACTCACACCAACCATCGGATCCCGGCCGTGAAAGCCTTTGAGAATACATTTATTTATTTATTATTTGATTTAGTACGTATTTGTACACTTCATCTGAGGTAACTTTTTTGTCTATCAAAATGCTTTAAATTGGGTTTAATTTAACTAATCAAGTACATGATTCAGCCCTAATACAAGGTTATTCCGTGCTCTTATTTGCATGTCTGTATTATTTGACAATGCTATGAGATTCTGTAGCAAGGAGCAGTGATTCAGAAATGAAAGAACTGGTGGGAGTACCCATATGCTGTCTTCTGTGTTTTTCTGCCTCTCCCCCTGAGCTTCTTATGAATTAGAACTGTGTCTATAACGTTGCCAGAGCACCTTCTCAATGTACACAGTACCATCACTTCTTTGATCTTTGCACTCAAGTCTCTTTAAATATTATATACTCTTTGAACGCTAGTGAACCACAAATTGAGAATAGTGTGTTTTATAACACCTTTAAAATTTCTTCACAACCTTGAATGAAGAGACAATGGACTTGGAACAGTTCTATCTCTAATGTATTTTAAAGGCTACATTAGTCCCCATGGTAACAAATAAAATATATCTCCTGCTTATGAGAATAGTGTGCAGATAATTGACAATGGACTTGGAGTGGTTTCTTTTACTAATGTACCTTGTGTGATACATTTATCCCTCCAATGAGATGGCTGAATACATCTGCTCCAGATACTGATGAATGCTGCTTTTCTTACAGATGTTTATGTGGCACATATTTAGATAAAGCAGTTACATACAGATGTACAAGGGTTTTGCTCATTATTTGGACAATTGTATTTTGCCTTCCTGTACACCAAGTTCTGTCTTTGTGAATGGGGTTTTGGAGGAAAAAGCAATACTGTAGTGCTTCCGTGGAATTTGCACTGATCCTGTTTGTTAAAAGGCTAAAAGAAAACCAGACACTGTATGATATGAGAATGTAGAATAAGAAGATCAAAGCCCTGGTCCCAAGCTTGTAATTAAACACACAAATGTAAAAGGAAGAGAGTAGCAAAGGGAAATATTAAATTAGAATGGCTCAGTTAATTGGAAAGAGCATGTGGGAAATAGCTGTGTTGAGGTGCTTCATGGAAAGTGGGAGAGATAGGATTGAACACAACTCTGAGAAAAATCAATTGAAAAGGTAATAGCTTGCTAAATTTGGAATGCTAAAGTAGGGAGTCAAGAGATAAAAAGAACAACAGGTAGGTTTGGCCTTGGAGTTCAAAACGAAGCAGAGAGTTTTGTGAAGAGAACAAGCTGGTCATCACAAACACTCTTTTCCAACAACACAAGAGGCGACTCTAGACATGGAAATCACCAGATGGGCAATACCAAAATCAGATTGATTATGTTCTATGCAACCGAAGATTGAGAAGCTCTATACCAGTGGTTCTTAACCTTTTAGAAAGAAACGCCCCCTTGAGCCACTGAGGAAGTTATCATCGCCCCCTCCCTGCAGTGATGATACCTTCTTTATTTATTTATTTATTTATTTATTCATTCATTCATTCATTCATTCATTCATTCATTCATTCATTCATTTATTTATTTATTCATTCATTTATTCATTTATTTATTTATTTA